TTTTACAAGACATTTTTTCCGTGTAACAGCGTTCCAAAGCTCAAAAGTTTCCAGACGAGAATAGCGTGCTTCCAAGCCAATTTCCCAGTCGAAGAAAATCTGGGACACGCCCCGGGAGGACGTCACCCAATTAGGCGGTCGCGAAAAAACAGGAGACGGGCGCTAAAAATTGAATGTAAACACGCGAAAGTCGGGGAAGACGTCTAGATCGCGGGGGGTTCACCGCGAACAAAGAAGGGGCGATAAGTGGCGGATCGACAGATGACAATCGCTCGGAACGGGCGGACGGGATCCTCCGGGAGTCGGGATCACCGGAATCCACCTGGATTCCGATAATTCGTCTTGTTCGCGAGTGATTTGTCCCGCGGATAGGGATTTCCCGTCTCCGAGACCGAGGATTTTCCGCGAGAACCGAGAGTGGAATGAACAAATCGCGTCTTATGGAAAGAGTACCTACCTATCTTAATTTTTAAATTGCAATTTGGTTTCGTAACTTCCTTTCGAAGTTAAATTCCATAGAACGTAGTCGTGGAACCTGTAAATCTTAAAGCACAGGACCGTATGCACTTCTCTTGAAATTTCTTCTTATGCTTTGACCGTGGTGTGTCTCGTAATTTATACTCGGCGAGTCCGGTATTGGTAAACTAGTCCGCCTGACGCTGGTCATCAAATCCAACCTGTATCGGTCCACTAGGTCGTAAATATAGATAAGATCCACTTCTTATTTGTGGAAGGGCGAAATGGGCGGTGACTATTAGACGCCTTCATTATAGCCATCTTTCTCTATCGCACGGATTTCTATGACTTACTTTATCGCTCTCACGTAACGATCGATGAACCATGGGGACTTTCCGACCCTGTATAATCATGTAGTGTAAATATAGAAAACTCTTCTTAGAGCTGGTTAATTAATAATGAATTATTGTTTGGAGCACAAAATAATTGTCTTAAACGGGTGTTCCTGCCGTAATTCGTGACGTCATTTAGTGCTATCGAAAATCGAGACGATAAATGACAGGGACGGAACAGCCCCACAGCACGAGCATAACAAGTTACAAAAGTCTAGAGACGGCCAAATATCGAGGCAAATGACGTCACAATGTGTTTATAACAAATTTAAATTTTTACATAATTTTAAACAGCTAATGAAATTGTAAGGAAATTATTTTTTTCCCACTGTTAGTTGTTGTGGGTTATAGACTACAAATTTATGCAGCTCTAAAATTATCTGTTCTGTTACTGACCCAGATCCAGATTTAAATAATTAAATTGAATGGATTGGATTGCTTCAAGATCCTGTTAATTAAAATGGCGAAACGAGAAGTTAATTTGGGAGAGGTATTGAATTTAACATAACTTATAGCTAATTCCTCACGTCTATTGTGTTATGCAGGTGTAAGAAAAATTTTCTTGTAAAAAACTAACTGACTAATATGAAATTATATTACATATGTTCAATAAAAAAAATAAACTAATTTTTATTGTAACTTGTAACTTATATTATAACACGTGTTGATGTTTTAAGTATGTATAAAAAAAAATCAAACCTCAACACTTCATACTTTAACGAGCTTAATGGTTCAATGTAACTGAGAATTTCAACCAATTAACAATAAAATACCCGTGGTCTCATTTTATACACAATATTAATAACAGGCTACCTCAAATATTTGGCAAAAATAATGTTAAGTAATAGCGTTGGCAGGCTACGAAATGATATTTTTTTTATAATAATGAAACGATTTTGTTTATGATATAAATACTATTTTCCAAGGGCGTACTATTTTTCTCTCAAAGGATCAATCGATTGATAGTCCAGGTGTGTTTGAAGTCATTTATTTTGTACAGAAAAATCCCGAATATTATGTATAGCAGATTTTGTCGATTGCATAGAAAATTCCCTGGGCAATAAATAATTGTTTATAGAGTAGTGTTGAAAAGTTTTTTAAAAATTCTAAATGGTTATAAAAGTGTAATATAAGGTATTTTTAGTATTGATCATTGTTTATTATGACAACAAGTATCTCTAAAACATTGCGAGCCCTTTCTAAACCTTAATTTAAACCCACGGTATGCAATAAACTTTTTGAAATTTTCTTAATTAACAATCCTGTCAATCGAAAACCGATCGATCGTTGCAAAATTTTTAGTAAAAATTGACATATGTTTTACTATTTGTTCACAAAGTTTCATCTATATTTATAAATATTTACTTATTTTAAAAATTGCTTCAAATATACATATGATTTTCTACTATTTTTCGCCCACTGTTAATGCAAAATTCAACTTTTTTGATTCGCAGTTGTTGTAATTTTATAGAATATCGTCAAATAAACAAAAAATGACGAATGACTTTTTTATTTAGGGCTTATTTTCAATGTTACAGGGAAAAAAATGTCGAAAAACGGATCATTTTCTTGTTTGTTGTTCCCCTGAATTTAGCAATGTTTTTTTGGAATAGGCAAACTCGGATTCTCATTCTACATAATATTTGGGATTTTTCTGTACAAAAAAATAGATGCCTTCAAATATAAACGCCTCGAATGCTTTACCGTCTGGACTATGAATAATAATTTGTGTCCCAAAGTTGTGTGGTACATTTTAGTTCATTCTTAATATATTTCCTCACCGTGTATAAAATGTCAGCAATATACAGAGTGATCTGTGATCTATAAAATGCCCCCCCGATATTTTTACGACACATAGTACAACACAAATTAATGGTATCTTGTTATATAAACTTTTTTTCAAACAATGGAGAGGTTTACTTCTTTAAAAGGGAATAGTGACATTCTGAAATATCTTCGTCCTTCAAGATATCTTATTCGTATTTTAGACAAGTAGTTTATTTTGGGATGGAGTTGTGCCCACTATTTCATCCTTTATTTTTACGATAGGATCCTAAACTTTTAGAGGAAAAAAATTTTTGTTTAATTTTGATAAATCGAACCATTAATGGTAGATAACTATAATAAATTTCAAATTTAAATATTAATTAAACTAAATTTGTCACATTTTCTGTTAGTAAAACATCAATCGGCCAAAATTTTCTAATTTTAATTGCATTTGCCCTATTTATAAAACGACAAAAAATGTCTAAGAGGAATGGTTGACAAATTTATTTTTGGGTACCAAACAGGCTTAGAAAACTGACATTTAAATTTTATCAATTAAGAAATATTTTCTCTCTCTAATTCAATTTTTTTTCTTCTGTTTATTGTGTTATCTTTGCTATTTTCTCCTTTTCCAGAAAATGCCAGTATTTTTGCAATGATGTAGAAGTACTACTCAAAAGAAGATTACAAAACCCCTGAATCCATTAAATTATCTCATTTATCATCCCCATACTCAAATATAGACTCTGTTCCCAAATTTGAAGATATAACAAAGAAACTGTTTTAAGTAAACTTTAAAACTCCATACTTCGGAAACAAATCATTTTCGAACATACAGGGTGGGCCATTAGTGTGAGAAAGTAAAATAACTCCCTTGTTACTCATCATACAGAAAAAAATTTATATGTAAGTTATACAGAATCAAGAAACCTAAACTACAAAATTAATTTTATACATACAGGGTGATGAATAAAAACGGGACACGCCAAATATTACATTTTTTAAATGGAACTCCCTGTATATTTTTACACATATGGATTTCCGAAAAAATTTTATAAATGGCAATATAACAGTTTATCATTTTAGTGCGGGGTTGCCAAGTTATGTAGAAAATTCTTCAAATTTTGGAAAAAACATGACCTCGAAGAAGTTGTATTAACTTTCTGCTACTAACACTTGGAACTAAATAATTAAAGTTATAGGCAAATGTTAGACAAAGGCTCCTATATTAGCTAATATTGACATTTTATACAGCGCATTTTTTATAATACGACCATTTTTAGAAAGTTTAAACTTGGTTTTCTAAAATTTTTCAAATGGAACACCCTGTATTTTATTGTTCTATTTTATTCACATATGGGTCCACTTCAACTTTTATTAAGCATGTTATATATCTAAAACTGTTAGTTTTTAAGATATAGCAACATTTCTGAAAAAACTTAATTTTTATTATTTTATAGAATACCACAAATAAATATTAACTAATAAAATTAACTCAAAATGGAGTGATAAATTATGAACTGACAAATGACACAATGTGACAGTTTTTTCCAAAGCCATTTCGTGCGATCGAATATAATAAAAATTAGGTTTTTTCAGAAATGTCGCTATATCTTAAAAACTAACAACTTTAGGTGTAGAACATTCTTAAAAAACTTGAAGTAGACTGATATGTGAATAAAATAGAACAATAAAATATAAGGTGTTCCATTTGAAAAATTTTAGAAAATCAAGTTTGAACTTTCTTAAAATGATCGTATTATAAAAAATGCCCTGTATAAAATATCGATATTAGCTAATATAGGAGTCTTTGCCTAAGATATGCCTATGTCTCTCAAATATTTTTGCTCCAAGTGTTAGTAGTTGAAAGTTAATACTTAAAAATACTTAAATACTTAAAGTAGAACTTCTTCGAGGTCATGTTTTTCCAAAATTCGAAGAATTTTCTACATAACTTGGCAACCCTGCACTTTAAATGTTAAACTGTTTATATTGCCATATATAGAATTTTCTCAGAAATCAATATATTTAAAAATATACAGGGTGTTCCATTCAAAAATGTAATATTTGGTATGTCCCGTTTTTACTCATCGCCCTGTGTGTTTCAAATTAATTTTGTCGTTTAGTTTTTTTAATTCAGTACAACTTTTGTATAAACTTTTTTTATGTATTACGAATAACAAGCGAGTTATTTTACTTTCTCACACTAATGGCCCACCCTGTATAAACTTTGTTTTTATTTTTTGTAGTACTCTTAGCTTTTTAACAACCCCTGTAGAAAGTTATTTCTATTTTTTTTATATACCACTCGCCCCCGAACACATTGGAAGACAATTTAGGACCCCTCTGTATGCTGAAATTTTTACTGATTTTTCCCCGTTTCAGGAGGGACCACGGCGACCACTTCCCCTTCGACGGCAGGGGCGTCATCCTGGCGCACGCCTTCTTCCCCACGGGGACGCGATCCAGCGTCGAAGTCCACTTCGATGCCGACGAGAACTGGACCACCTCTGGCAAGAGCGACGAAGGTAATTTAGGGTGTGGAAGGGACACGGCGACCCTCGCGGCGCCCTCAAGTGGTCATGGGGCGTCGAGGGGGTCGTCGGAGTGTTTTTATGTGCGAGATTGTGTCGGTGAATACGTCATAGATGGTAATGACAACTGCGGGAAGTGCCGGGAGTTAAATAAATAAAGAGAAATAGTACATTTCGTAAATAATTCTCATTAGCTGTACTTCCGAAGGAATAAAATTTTTTCAAAGGTAGAGAACAAGGTTTTGGAATATTTCAAAATATTCCGTAGGATTTCAAGTGATTCTATATTTTTTTATTTTTAAAATGTGAATTCTTTTTGTTTTTATTGTTTCATTACGTACTTTTCAGGAATTAGTAATCTCACTATCGGCGTCATTGTACATGTCTGCCTCTGATCTGTAGCTTCGCATCGATCAATTTATTCGATACCCGACCTGGCGTACCGGTGAACAATCCAGTTAACCGTGCATTTCATTGTCGTTTGTGCGTGTGTGAGTGAGTTTGATGCTTTGCTTGATCGAGTATAGGGCAGGTGTTTTTATGGCAGTCAGTAGCATTGTGTACTGTGAGCATAGAGCGGCACACGGTTTGACCACAGATTTAGCCTATTTCTGCTACTACAACGGATATTTCCGCTTACTAGCATAATATACAATCACAAATATTTATTTATTTGATTGTCGCCAGAAAGTTTCCGATGTGTAGTAATGACATCTATTTAGATTTACAAAACCTTCTTTAACTTTCGTCAGTAACATATTAAATATCTGTTGTGTGACGCATTGTACGATTTTAACTGGATTTTTTTTTAATTATGGAGCTTGATTAACTGTATTTATTAAGCAAAAAAGACTCACTTCTTACAAAATTCAAAACCTGCTATGTCAGTTTTCAGGAATATAATGTGAATATTAATCATATTAGCGATTTAAAAAAATCTGCGCACGCCACTGGATTCACCACCCCCTGTATTACATTTTTTTAGTAATAACGATTTTGTAGCTACATTGATGGTGCACACTATTTTTCAGTTCAATTCTATAAACTTATTCTAAAAAAATAGTATTTTTAAATTTTCAACACAATCAGTGTTTCCGGGTACATTTTTGCAAAAACTTTTTTTTATTTATACAGGGTGTTTATAAATAAGTGCGACAAGTTATTTTATGAAAAAAAAGCATATAAGCGTAGGACAAAATATGTTCTGTTTCCGAGATACAGTGTTTAAAATTTAATTTTTTATTTATTTTTATTAATTATTTCAGAGTTTTGAACATTTTCTATCTCGAAATAGAAGATTTTTTTACCAACATTCATATCAACTTTTTATTTTCAATGTTCAATTTTTACATTGACCACGCTTTATTAAAAGAGATCCTTAAACAAAGAATTAACAAAACCTACAATAAAATATGTTTTATATTTTCCTCAAAACGGTGCATCCTACGAATAAAATTGAAGAGACCAATTTCATTCAGAATTGATGACGGATTTCTAAAAATATATGAAAACGGGAAAAAGTCAGTGGCGTACCATTTATAAAAAAAAAACCATACCGTGTACCATATACCGTATACCATAAAAAAAGTTGTGGCATTCTCGCACGAACACCACTGGTGCAAGTAGAAATATTCGGATCACCCTAAAAATGCCCATTTATCCCTCCAAAGCGTGTTTCAAATTTCGAGTAAATGTCTTTTAAAACTCAAATAATTAATAAAAATAAATAAAAAATTTAAATTTAAACACTCTGTATCTCGGACACGAAACATATTTCGACCTACGTTTATACGAACTTTTTTTCACAAAATAACTTCGCCAACCACCCCCTGTACAGGGTCGGAAAGTACCGATGGTCCATCTGCCGTTACGTGAGAGCGATAAAGTAAGACATAGAAATCCATGCGATAGAGAAAGATGGCTATAATGAAGGCGTCTAATAGTCACCGCCCATTTCGCCCTTCCACAAATAAGAAGTGGATCTTATTTGTGGAAGGGCGAAACGGGCGGTGACTATGAGACGCCTTCATTATAGCCATCCTTCTCTATCGCATGGATTTCTATGTCTTACTTTATCGCTCTCACGTAACGGCAGATGGACCATCGGTACTTTCCGAACCTGTATATGACGTATCATTAAATTCTAACAGAATATTTATAGTATAGAAAGTATATATACTATGGTTACTATAGAAAGTAACACCCTGTATATTAACATGCAATAAAAAATAAACAAAATTAGAAGGTGGCTTAAACTCGTATTTTTTAAGTTTTGGACATACAGAGTGTCCTATTATTACAAAAAAATTATGAAAATTACCTCCTGGAGCTCAACTCTATTTTACTGTGAATGAGAACTTACCATTATTTAAAATCCGTAAAATCCAGCAAGCTTTGGAAATTTCGAAAATTTTGATTTTGTTCACCAGTAAAGTCCCTTCGCTATGAGATAGTACAAAATATTTTTGTCATAATAAAAAGTTGAGTGTGTGCGACAAATATTAATGCCTTAAGGCCTACTTTGATCTAAAATCAAGCAGCGTCAAAGTAGGCCTAGAGCATTAAAATTCCGCTCACGTACTCGTTTTCTCATTATGAGAAATTTTTCTTAGTAATTTTTTATGGTGTCACGTACAGAAACAGCACTTTATTGGGAGAAAAGTCTGAAATCAAGCAAACAATAAAAGTAGTTTTAATACTCGATTTAATACGTTGAAATTTTGCTCATTGATTCAGTTTTTCGTTGTAATCAATTTTTTAAAAACAATTTTTCGCACGCCATACAAAAATGGCACATTACTGACGAAAAAAATCAGATTTTTCTTTTCCAAGGCTTACAAGCGGGACATAATCTCAGAAGGTCATTGTTGAACATCAACATTTTGTGTCTCTTACAAAAGTCGTTTCACTTATTCAGTAACGTTTTAATGAAATGTCAGTCATTATCACTTTTCGGTATCAAAAATCATACGATTTCGTATGAATTCATAAGATTACAGGAAGATTTTTGTAATACCAATTCAAGTGGCTTCTTGAAACCGTATGACCTTGAAATTTTGCAGGAATCTAAAACCTCCAAGTGATTTCATGTTATTTAAATGAATTTTTAACAATCCCACGGACTATAAAGATTTCATGAGATTTCTGGGATTCCTATAGACTTCATTTTCACGGCATATGCATATAATGCCGAGCATCACCGGTAACGACACAGCTTACTTTGTTTTCAATACCAACTTGTTTCAATAGCGATTGTTATTATAGCTATCTGTGTACATGTGCGTACACAAATCGACGGCAATTTGTTATCAGTCGCGCCCACACGGCTCGAGGACTTCTATTTTTCATATTTAATAGATTATGATGGACGGGGGTGTACCAAACGCAAACAGAATACATTTGTGGATACGTTTTTATCATCTATCAAGTTCCGGTCGAGGAAATATGCCTCCGCGGCATTCCTATGGGTCACTACACGTGACTCTGGCGTCGGTGCAGGGCCGGCTTGGGCCGCGCTGTTCGGTCTGTCGCGTTCTTTTGTTTCCATTGAATAGTTGAACGAACGCCATTAACTTTTTGTTTTTCGAGTTATAAAAAAATGTGAAAAAAGTTGCACGATTTTTTCTGAAGTTTTCGAAAATGATAGTAGAAATACAAATGAAGTCCACAAGCAAAATGGCCGCGGATGTTAACTTTGTTAATTTAAATATATATATATATATATTTATTTATTTACATATGTGGCCCTGTCGGGCAGTCGTATAAAGTTTGTTGGGTACATCTCTAACAATAAGCGAAGACGCGGACTGATATTTTGTCTGATTTGTCTGAGTTGTGAAACATGTGCCATGCGCCCGGCTATTATGTGAATGGCGGATAGTTGTAATAAACGCACCGTGCATAAATTTACAACAATAGATGTATAGAACTATGCAGAGAAGTCTTTGCGGCACGCTTATGTCATTTTTTCGTTGTGTTTTAAGTTTTGTGAGAAATTATCTAGTTTACACACAGCAAATGATGCGGAAAAGCGTAAGTGACGGTAGAAAAAATATTTTATTAACCCTTTCGATCACCGAGAATGATTTTTTAAAACCGAAATAATGCAGATTGTGAAAAGGAATTAGGTATCATTTATAAGGAAACACCTTTTCAATAAAAATTACCTTATGAAAATTTGCATCGGGCAGTTTCACGGTTATTTTATATTCCAGGGGTATTAGTAATGTACCGGATGTGTACTTTAATAATTTACTTCGGGAAAATGTTTACTTTAATTTTAAAAGTTTCTTTTAAAAACGTTGTTCAGCTTTAAAATCGCGGGCTTTCCAGAAGTAATTCCAACTTAACGGGTGCCGTCGATTGTTCCTCTAGAAAAATACGAAAGTTTTAACGAAACGAATCAGAAAGGATCCGCAAAACCTCAAAAAGTTTACTTCAAAATTAATTAAACCGAAGCGTAATGATTTGGACCCTTGCAACTGTTGTAATTGTTTCTGTAAAAGAACGCTCGGATCCTCGTTTTTGCGTCAGAGGTATGAAGTTTTAACTGTTGTGAGGTAGGCACACACAAAAAGCTGTATACATTTTGTTTTAAATAAATGTATTTTTATTAGAGATCGGAAATGTGGAACAGGATAGGCCGTTGGCCGTAAGCCGGGGTCTCTTTTATGTAATTTTATACAAACAAAAAGTGACACAACGGCCGCCTTATAATAATTGTACTTTTTACATTATAAGAATATACATATATGTAAGGATTTGCATAATAGTATGAAACGAAATAGACAGTCCGCGTTATTGTACAATAACATGTACATGTCTTCTTCTGATCTGAAGCTTCGCATCGATCAATTTATTCGATACGTAGCTAGCAGCACTCTAATGCCTGCCCTGGTGGCCTGACGTGCTAGGTTTTTGCTGAGGAACATTGGCCGTCTATTTCATTGTCGTTTGTGCGTGTCTGAATGAGTTTGATGCTTTGTTTAGTCGAG